CCCCGGAACAAATCTGCAACCTGGGCATGTGCCCTGACTGGGAATCAAATCAGCATCGTTTGGTGCTGGGAACAACGCCCAACCAACTGAGCCACACTGGCCGCGGCTGTAGATACTTCTTTTTAAAAAAAAATGATTAAGTATCCAATTTTAATACTTTGGGCTATGGGGTTTATTGATGGTATGACTTGGTTTAGTGGATTGCGGGATATAATTAGTCAACTACATCCTTGTGCATTTTTATGTCAGAAATAAAAACAACAGTTTTGCTCCTGTGTGCAATCCTAAATACAGTTATAGAAGTAGGGTGGTAGTGTGGCCGATTAGAATGCGCAAGTCCTTTGCAATTAGGTTGTAGAATCCTACTTCTGCCTCTTCGTTACCTTCTTCAGGCTTATATCTTTTTCTGTCAAATGAGGCTAATAATACCTACCTCATAGGATTGAGAAAGTTAAATGTGATAAAACACTGGTATTTTGTCTGCAGATGGCAGGCACTCAGTAGTTATTATCACCCAGGTTTATCTCTTCTCTTCCAGTTGCCTGTGACCTTTCTCATCTGTGCTGTTCCCAGGCTGTGCTTCTTCTGTCCTCCTTGTCCCATATTTTTACTTCCATACTCACGACTCTTCACTGAAACTGGCTCTTTCTGTGTTCACATCTTCCTAGATACCTGCTATCAACCAAAGCTATTATATATATTTTTTTCATTTATTCCTTCAACAATTACACTGCTTGGATTTCAGAAATATCTGGTACCACCTTTACCCTTACGTAGAGTACACACCAGTCAGGAAGATTGCAGTTGTATTAGCATACATCAGTATATGACTAAATGCTATGGAAAAGGTATAAAGAGAAAGATTACTTACTGACAGGATGATCAGAGAATGCTTTATGGAAGGGGCTTTGAAGAATGACATTGTAATTGAATTAGTTGAGATGGGTGTGGATGTTTATGGGTTTGGGTTTCTTTATGTAGGTGTTGGAAGATGAGAGAAAAAGGAAGTAAATGGTGGGAAGGTTATTCCTAAAGGAAAGGTTCTCTGGTGCTTGGAACATCATGGCGCCAAGGCCTGTCACACCTTTCATAGTCTGGCCCCTGCCTGGCTTTCCCAGCTCCATTTTCCATTCTGAAGCCTATATTCTATTGGTTCCATTCTGCCATCAATATACTATTCTCTTTATCCATTTCCCACTTCTTGAAACTTCTTGAATTTCTTATAAACAAGGATTTTTTTCATCTTTATATCCCAATGTCTAAAACAGTATGCCTTAATAAATTATTACTAAACTAGAGGCCTGGTGCACGGGATTCGTGCACAGGTGGAGGGTGTGGCCTAGGGAATTGGCCCACTGTGGGAGCACACTGACCACCAGGGAGCAGCTCCTGTGTTGAGTGTCTGCCCCCTGGTGGTCAGTGCGCATCATAGCGACCAGTTGACCGGTTGTTCTGATCGTTCGGCCATTCGGTCTCTGGGCTTTTATTATATAGGACAGCTGACTATAAATAATGTGGTATATCCATACAATGGACTATTAGTTAACAGTATAAAAACTAAAATTGGAAACATTATGATAAGTGAAAGAAGTAGACACAAAGATGAAATTTCCAGAACAGACAGATATATAGAGACATGAAGCAGACAGTGGTTGCCTAGGGCAGGGAAGAGGAGTTGAGGAGTGGCTGCTAATAGGCAGTGTGGTTTCCTTTAGGGTGATGAAAATGTTTTGAAGTTAGATAGTGGTGATTATTGCTGTACTATAAAAACCACTGAATCGTACACTTTAAAAGGGTGAATTTTATGGTATGTGAATTATATCTTAATCAGTTATTTTTAAAAAATGAATATAATCCATCATTTCAGTTAAGCTTTATTCCAGATAGGTTACAGAAAGCTTTAGAACTTTCCTAACCCTTCACTAGTTGAAAACTAAACACATAAAACTTTGTCTTTCCTTTCATCAGGATTATTCTTACATTTCTACAAGTTTACTATTGCATTCCTCATATTTTTAGTTTGTGATTCAGAAATGTAAGCATGATTTTTTTTTCTACAATTGCATCTTACGCTTCTTCCACCATTGTGTAGGTAGCTAGGAACCTACTTAAAATTCTTTTTCAGAATTTGTTTCTGACTTCCTCTCTTTCTTCTTACCTGTGATTGACAGAGATCCTTCTCATTGCATCCCACTAGAATGTATTTTACATTGGACATTTTAGAGTCTCAAGTTTCCTAGAATAGTACCTCATGGGATAAATATATGATTTCTGAACGATGGAAAGTATTCTATTCCCCCCAATATAAAGTGACTCCTTCATTAGTAACAAGGTTTTGCCTTTTTTACTGTAGCTGAGAATTTTTTTTCAAGGCAGGTGACATAAAGAATAGCACTCTTGCCCTGGCTGGTTTGGCTCAGTGGATGGAGCGTTGGCCTGCGGACTGGGGGGTCCCGGGTTCGATTCTGGTCGAGGGCATGTGCCTTGGTTGTGGGCACATCCCCATTGGGGGGTGTGCAGGAGGCAGCTGGTCGATGTTTCTCTCTCATCGATGTTTCTAGCTCTATGTCCCTCTCCTTTCCTCTCTGTGAAAAATCAATAAAATATATATATATTAAAAAAAAAGAATAGCACTCTCATCATTCCTTAAATGATTAAAACAAGGCTTCCAGTAGTTTAGTTATCAAATTTTTAAGTAGTATGAAATCACCTTTTCCTTAGAGAAGATAGACTATCCCAGTTACTTTTACATGGTGGTTCTGTACTCTGGCTTCATCTCACAATCTTCTGGGGAGTTTTAACAATAAGATAATACTTAGGCTGCACTGTCAGCATTTCTGATTTAATTGCTCTGTGGTGGGGTCTGGTTACCAGTATTTTTAAAAAGCTTCTAAACTGATTCTAAGGAACAGCTAGCGTTGAGAATCATTGGTCTAGTACAGGTGTTAGAGGATTAGCACTATGTAGGATACAGTGTTGTTGGAGTTCAGAGACTGGTACTCACTTCTAGCTGGGAAGATGTAGAAGTCTTCAGCAGTAAAGATATACTTCACTGGTTCTCAAAGATAAGTATGGTTTGGCAAAGTTGATGGGTGGTTGTCAGAGAGAAGAGGTTGAGCAAGGAGCAGCCCACGAGGCTATATAATGCGTGAGTGCTTTAATGGGAACTGGGATGGATAGGCTAAGTGTCCAATCTCAAAGGGACTTAGTGGCCAGGTTAAAAAAAAATTGAACATTATCTTAGCACAGCAATGAAAGCTGTGTGTTTTAAGCCAAGAAATGGTATAATCAGATTGAACCTTAGGAAATAATTTTTGGCAACAGTTTTGAGGCTTATGTCACTTCCTGGGATTCATAAGATTGTAGAAAACCTTCCTTCCTTGCAGTGTAGGCTGCCTGGAAGGAAGACTGATGGATGATGAGACTGAGAGGAGAGTGGAAATAGGTTGGAACCAAACTTAAGAGCTGTGCGGACTTAATGCCATAGATTGTGTAGAGACATTGCTGAGATTTCAGAGGAAAGGGTGCCATATATGGTGGGCAAAAGTAGGCTTACAGCTGTTTGTATGGAAAATAATACAGTAATTAATAAATAATACAAGAACAAACTCTGTTTTGCGTACTCGCAACTATAAACCTACGATGGCATATTAGAGAGAGGGAGACTTAGACTGGGAAGTCAGTTAAAAGGCTCTTAGCAATGATGGAAACAGTGTTCCAAACTAAGTCAGCATAAGAGAATGGGACGTTTTTGAAAGTCATTTCAGACTTGAGGGACTAATTGCATGTAGATGGAGAGGAAGAAATTAAAGATGAGGATAGGTGTACAGGTTCCTAGTTAGAATAGTTTGTGGATGGTCTTGCTGTCTGATCTAAACTCCTCTTGGCTAACTAAACAGTTTATAATTTAAAAATCAAGAGATCCAGAGGTACTAAAATGTATCAGGTATACATTTTAGGGGGAAAATCCTTTGTCAGAATTATGCTATAAAAGGTATTTTCTGTATTCTCATCAGCTCCGCCCGATGAGCAGAGGTCAGGTTCCAGAGTCCTAACTGTATGGTAGGTTGCCAACAGTCTCTCAGCCAAAGGATGAGCCAGTGAGTCACTGTAGAAGGGACCAATAAGAACTTGACATACAAACAGAGAAACATGCTTCAGTTTCTGGTATATCTGTGAGAAAGTAGTATATGACATAATCTAAGAAAACAAGCCCAATTCTAGATGAAGGAAAAGGCAGTGACTAAAGAGGAAGTGGTGGTGTAATGTTAGTAGCAAAGCCTTGGCCCTTACCAGTATGTTTTCTACATATTTTAGGACTTTGAGTCATGATAGTCCCCTGTTTCCTACCCAAACAGTATTTAAAGCAACAACCTTGAATTCATAAGGAGCAGGACTTAACATTTATCTGCAGAGTATTTAAGAGTGGAGATGTGACTGCAAAGCTTTTAGATTGGCTACCAAATTATCGTGTCAGAAGCACGGATCTGACTTGTGAGAGTATATTGTCTTACTGGAACTGCATAAGGAATAATCAAGAAAGAGCCAAGAAAAAGGGAAGCATTGACAAAACATGATTTAAATGTCTGGTTAGCTTAATCAGCTTCCCCTAGGTGTTGTCCGTAGTCTAGATCAGAAGAGACTCCAAGTGAGGTATAAACTAATGTATAAGAAATTGTAGCCACTGAGCAGCAAGGACAGAAAACATATTTTAACATTTTAAAGATGTAAATAATTTTCTAAGAACAGATAATTGAATTTATTGATAAAAATAACTTGCTCACATCGTCTGTGAGAACTCATGTATGTGCTAAATCCTAGAATCTGCTATTATTTACAGTTGTTATTACCAATAGCTCTTTTCCCCTCTTTCCGCTGTACCAAATGTTAAAATAACACTGTCTCTTTTTCCTCCTTTGCCTGCACTCATAAACTGATGGCATGGTGTCCACTCAGTATCTCCAGTGGTCAGCCCTGAGCACCCAGGCCAAGGCCTCATTGGAAATGGAGAAGCAGGAGTGGGGCCTGGGCAGTTGCATCTAGAGAGCAGTGCTTCTTGAGATTCAGACTCCTTTAAGAATATGGTGCAAGCCATTCTTTTCCAGAAAAACTTCCACAGGCACTAAAATCTGCATTGTATGAGTTCTCACCGGGGTACGCAGCCCATGGGTAAAAACTCCAGCTTTAGAAGATGCTATAATTGACCAGATTCTTACTCTAGGAGTTGCATTTATGAGGCATATCCTTTATTTATTCAGTAATATTTAATGAGTAACAGTTTTGTGCCCATTTGTGAGATGTACCTGTGAGCAAGATCTTATGAAGCTTTTATCTGATGTGGAGGCAGATAATAAAGACATGAAATACATGTAGATTATTAGTAATAAGTACTGACAGGAAAATAAAACAGTCATGTGGTAGAGTGATGGTATGAGCACTGTGTTTTAGGTTCAGTGCTCAGGGACAGGAGATAATTGAGATGATACCTAATTTCTTAATCACAAAGACTATAAATCAGCTGTTTTGGTAATGACTTTAAGAAATCAGCCACAAGTTAAATAGCAATTTTCTTCTGTTTTGTTTCTATTTGGAATGTATTCATATTATATAAAGCAATGCTGCCCTCTGGTGGTAGTAAGTTTAATGGCATTCCAGCTTTATTTTTGCAAATCTATTTCAAGGATTTACAGTACTCTATTTAATGGGATTTCTTCCTGAAAAATAGATGTCATTTTTAGATTGCTTTTGAATTTAAAGTTCTTGTAAAATTATAATTCATTTGAAAGTCTTATTTAATCTGAAATAAATTTGGGAATTTCTTTTTTTTGATCAATAATTCTTACACAGTTGAAGGAAAGGATACCTAAGAGGTAGGAAGAACTCAACTCTCAGAACTGAAAGGTGATTAATGGTACTGGAAAAATAAAGCAAGCAAGGTGAATTGCTAATACAAGCATGAAAATCTATGACTTGGACTTATTCATTAAAACATGTATTACATTAAGTTCCCCATTCCAAAAGGCTTAAGACACTTTTTAGTGGAAATTTTTTAAAAGAATGTATTTTTGAATTTCAGTAGCCAGTGACAGTATTTAGAAACAGTGAACATTATTAGTAGACTTTAATATTAAACAATGAATAAATTTCCATTGAAATATGACCATATTCTTTAATATCCTAAATATTTGGTTTGTTTCTTCTAACTCTCAATTTTTTAATATTTTGTTTTTTAAAGTATGGACATGTTCTGACTCTTAAGTTTTTAATTGAAAGGTTCTTTTTGGAATAATGATTTTTATTTTATAGAGAGTAATTTGACTTGAATGATTTTTGTTTTGCTTTTTATTTTTGAAAATTTATATAACCAATTTGAGAAGGTATTAGGTAGCTAACAGTTACAAATAAATTTGACTTATTTTTCTAAGTCCATGAAAAATCTAATGTACCCATATTCTTTTTTTATGGTGGTAGCTCTTTTTAAGGCCCTTGTTTGGGTAATTTATTTCACTTCAATAAAAGTAAAAATCATAAAGATTGATGACTGCACATATTTCTAGTTGAATCTTTACCAGGTGATACATACAATTTTGAATTACTCACATTTTATGGTCTAGTCATTATGTGCTGTTTGAGTATACTTAAAAAATGCAATTGTGTGATTGTGCCCCATAGTGATTTCATAATCATGACATAAATCACAATAAAGGGTCTGAAATTAATTTTTTAAACACTTTTTATAATATATTTTTTAAATTGATTTCAGAGAGGAAGGGAGAGGGAGAGAGAGATAGAAACATCAATGATGCGAATCATTAATTGGCTGTCTCCTGCACACTGCCTACTGGGGACCAAGCCCACAACTGGGCCATGTGACCTGACCAGGAAGCAAACCATGACCTCCATGCCCGCTCTTCTGAAATTAAATTTTATGATGTGGGTAGAGATATTGTATAATTTAACTGCATAGGTTAGATTTCTATTTACATTTATTTCACCAAAAAATATCAAAAATATCTAGCAATTATTTCATATTTCATAATCTTTTGCCAGGTAGAACAGATAAAGCTACATGGTTTTTGTTATGTGTTGCTTGAAAATGTTGAGTTAGGAAGGTGGGCTGGTAAGAATTACAGGAATATCTAGGAAAATTTACCCTCAGAAAAGGTAGTTCTCTCAGGGATCATCTCTAGATTTTTTTGCCTAGGAATAAAAAGCAGTACAATATTTCCTTCATAGACTACAAAACAATCAGTTTTCAAATACAAAACTGAATCACATTGATTGTGCTATTTTAAATGTTAACTATAGTTCTTACCTTAATTAAAATAACACGATACACTTGACCTTTAACCCTTAAAGAATTAAAAAGTGCCAGTGACATTCTTACTCTGTTTTGTATGTTTTCTCTCTTCCAGTTTGTGTGATGGGTAATGTTTGCTGAAGAGTGTATTTTAGATTTTTCTTTTTCTTTTTTGCAATTGAAACGAATTCTTAGTGAAAACAAAATCCCCAATATGAGGATCATTATTGCTTTTCTAACAATGGTTTCAACAAGCATGTATAAATACCAGGAAGAATGGGAGAGAATCCACAAGATGAATTTTATAAAAGCATGCCATAGCCAGAGATTAACGAGTGTCCCAAATAATAATACGGCGGGGCAGTTAGGATTCAGATCCCCTTAGCTTTGTACAGAGCCTTTTCAGTTTAGTGACTCCTTTTACTGTTGCTTAGAATTGTCTTGCTCTTTCTAAAAGGCACGTTGATAAAACAACAGCAATAATTCTGCTATAGTTCACTAATATCTATGCTTCACTGGCATGTTCACTGTTCATCTTGCACTAGCCTATTGCTTTTTATGACCATTTAAAGTAATATGATTAGAGTCAGCCTTCCTTTGTGACATTTTAGCACTTTTATAATTAAAAAGTATTTCCTTCCATCTGCAGGTGCTGCTGTTTTTTCAAACGAAGGAAAAGGAAAACCATACAGCGCCACAAGTGACTCTGGAGACAGGCAGATCATGGGGAGTTACTTGCGTGTTCATCTTCTGTCTTGTGATGAAAATCATCTCTGTAGTGACCACATATGTTTTCAAGGACTCACTCTTAGAAACAAAAATGTCATACTTTCATACTTCATTGTGTGGTTGTCTTACATTCACGTTTTTTTTCTAATTTAACTATTATGGAAGCTTTAACGTTTTGTCAAAACATGAGTGCTTTGCCCATCAGTGAATGGAATGGACCAATGAGGTAGGACTGGTCAAAATAGTCCTAGAGAACATTTTCAGAAGCTCTCCTCCTGCCACGGAAAGCAGTACAGTATCTTAAATGTCAACCAGTTAATATACCTGATCTGGTCTTTTATAACTCATGTAAGAGCATAATCAAACAGGAATTTTCTCCCCTGTGGTAACACAACAAAGGAAACAGAGTTGCCCAAATATTTGAAGAAGGTAATTCTTGAGAAATTCATTTTTGGTGTGACATCTGCATTGATACCAGTATTACTGATGGTACTGCTATTTGTGAGTCATACTAAAATTCTCTCTGAAATCATGGTACAGTCACTGCCCAGAGGTACTGAGGAAAAAGCTCTATGTGTTTGGCAGATGGTAGTTGTAAAATGAATAACAAGTAATGTGGTAATTATGAGTTCTGCTTTTTAAAAATTTTTTAAATTATTTATTGCTTTGAGAGAGAGGGGGAGAAAGAAACATTGACTTGTTCCACTTATTTGTGCATTCATTGGTTGATTCTTGTTTGTGCCCTGACCGGGGATCGAACCTGCAACCTTTGCATATCGTGACAATGCTCTAACCAGCTGAGCTACCCGGCCAGGGTTAAGCTCAGCTTTCGTGGCACCACTATGTGAAGTACAGTGTTGCTGAAGTGGCAAAAGCACTTATTTTAAAAAAATGCAACATTTGTATAATGTAACTTTATGCTTCCAGATAATGTGTGTTAGACAGCAAGAGATGAATACTTTGAGAAATGAGAAATGTGGGAGTTTTTTTTAAAAAAAAAATACACTAAGGAGAAGAAATAAATGTGAATCTCTTTGCAATGTATAAGGTTGAAGTCAAAGGGGATCCCATTGAAACCCACTGCTGAGTGATTACATTCTCCCTTGAGCAGAAAACTTTGGATGTGCCACTCAATGGTGTCTGTTTGTTAATTATTTGCTTTTTGATAAAAAAGATCCCCAGCAATAAAAACTGGGTCACTTTATTGCCCTCTGTGCACATTAGTCTCTTGTATTCCACTTTGCTGGCTCTCTGGAGTTTTCCGACGTTTTAGCCTAATTTTGATGATTGAAAACTAGTTTGGAGAGGATGGGTCAGGTGCTTTGCCTCCATAGTCTGTTAAAGTGCCTGCATATGAACAAAGTTACGGTTCTGTAAAAAAGGAAACCCATTCCATTTTCAAGTATGCTTTGTTTTAAGCCATAAAGGCAGGTATTCTTTTGTCACATCTTTCCAGCCAGGATTTTCAAGAAGAGTTAAAACAAAAAGACTGGCTAGGAAGAATTACGTTGTTCAAATCTCATACTCATTTTTTGTTTATCAAATTGTTACTTCCTCCTTCCTTGCAGCCCCTTCTTCGTCTTTAAGTGCGAGCCGCCAGGCACGCTTATTTATTTTTATTGTCTCAAGGTAACATTTAAAATGTGTAATTAAAGTAAATAAATCTACATTTTTGACTTCATTATTGCATTTACAGGGATTTAATTGTACTTTGTAATTTATTTTTCTCGTTAGCCAAAAGTTCAATGCATTGTTTTTGATGAATTAGGAACCCATATGAATACTGCAAATCTGGACTTTGTTTATTGTTGCTCTGAAATGAAGATCTTTTTAAGTTGTTGATTTTAAAGACCTACACTCAGCCTAGGAAATATTTGCTGTATAATTTGGTCATCAGTTTCCATCCTATCTATTTGTATACTGTCATGTTGTCTTAAACTGCAGGAGTCACATACTAAGTTGTTATTTTTGTTTGCTTTGAGCAAGGTAGATGGATGTTTTGGCCATTATAATGTGAAACCACTTCTTTCTTTACAGTATTTGACCAAATATGTGTGTCTCTGATATTTGTAAATACATGCGATATCTGTATTTCTTATCATAAGCCTATTTAGTTTTATTCTTAGTAGGGTTTTTGGACTGTACAGTGTTTATATGATCTGAACTCCTTATACATAAGAAGGTGTGTATATTAATCCAATTATGGACTTAAAATATTTTAAAGTATAAATACCCTTATTTGCTGCAAAGACCAGTGTGTACACATTTGCTTTTTAGCAATATTTTTAATTGCTCCATTTTAATGCCAAGGAATAAATCTTTTGGCAACACAGACTGGTCAGTAATAGGTAATGCAGGTATGTTCAGGTTAAGCCAACAACGTTTTGCATTTTTATGCTTCTTTTCTGTCAACACTAATGAGTCAACATTGCCTGAATGTCTGAATAATGAAACACATCCCTGTTTAAAAGTATGTAACTGAAAACGAAATAAAAAATAAAGGTAGTTTTTTTAAACTTGCTCTTAACCCTTTCCTCTCATCATGGGTAAGATGATGCCACTCTAATTTGAGATAGAAATTTTTAAAATACAGCTCACTGAATTTAGTATATGGGAGAAACGGAGCTATAGGAATATGCTTTTGGTTTTGTTTTGCTTTGTTTGAACCCCCTGCAAAGAGCACATACCAGGAAGTATCTAAGCTTTCTTTAATGAAAGTTTAAACATTTTTTTTACACTTCTATGAACTACTTAATGGAGCAATTAATTAAAGTGAATGCCACTAGTAAATCAAGGAAAATAAACGGAATCATTTTATTCCTTTTTAAGAATTAAGTTCTATTATGTCCACATAAATGAAATCATTACTCCAACTTTAGGTGAAAAACTTTGCCATCATGGATTGGGGGCATATATCGCACAGCTTATCAGTGTTCTGTGTGCTTTAAGGAGTTTCACAAAGTGGGTTTAATGGTGCTCTGTTTACTGAAAGATGCTACAAGTCAAGATAAGGCAAAGCAATACACACTGAGCACCAGCGTTCAGGAACAATGAGAAGATCTGGAGATAAAAGGCCCTCTGTAGGAGAATCTGATTTAAGATGGGGGTTAAATCTGAATGATTGCATAGTTGCATTAGTGAGCACCCTTTGGATTGCAAGTGATAAAAACCTGATGCGGCGATGCAATAGCACAGTTAGCTGAACAGTCTAGTGGTAGAACTGGCTTCAGACATGCTTGATCCCCGTGTAGTCAGGAATCTGTTCATCTCAGTTTTGCTGTTTTCATTGTCGGGGGGATTTTTCATGTGTGATATAAAGTAGCCACCCAGCAGCTTCAGACCCCTATAGCTAAAATATGGGGCAATTTCTCTCAGCAGTTCCAACAAAATCCTAAGACTAACATTTATTCCTTCATTGGTGCACATGTCCATCCCCGAGACAGTTACTATGGCCAAAGGAAAGCTGTTCTCCCACTTTCAGAGGACACATTGGACTGAGAAATGCTTAGGAGTGTTACCCAAAAGGAAATGAGAGTAGTGTTATCAGAAAGGGAGTGAATGGATACTGCACAGGCAAAATCAATAGATACCTGCTATCATGAGAAAAACGAAATATAGCATAGAGCCAAACCTTATTGTTTTGAATTAGCTAACCTTATTATTGAGGCTTTTATTAATCTGAATATATTATATAATCCGTACACTTATAATCAGTACATTTGAAAAATATTTTGGAATCAGGTAAAAATGGAGGTTATAAGTACCTTATTTGATGTATTTTTGCTCTTGTTTAGTTTTTAAGGATTTTGTGGTAGGAATGGATTAGTAGAGTTATGTTAAAGCTAACTTTTCTAGAGTAGAAATAAATTGAATTATAAAGCTTTGCTGATGTTCAGGATAACTAGTTTTTTCTCTGCCCAGCTCTAATACAGGGCCACATGTTATTTTCTTAGGAAATGTACTTCTAAGACTACATGGATCATAACCAAAGAAAGGACTATATCTAGAAAAATTACCAGGTAATATTTCTGGGATATGAAAAAGGTTTTGCTAGAGTGATTATAGGGATGTTTATCATACTGTGATTTTACTTAAATAGAAAAACACTACCACAGTGCTCTAGACTTGGAGTTGGCAAACTTTTTTTGGTAAAGTTTAGACTGGGCCAAAGGCAAAATAGAGGCTTTTATATACTTGTGTAATGAGAAAGAAAACAAATTTCCATTAGTTTTGAATGGACAAAATTTAAAATACATATTAATCCTTGAATACGAGTTTTTTGTAATGCAATCTACTGATAAGAATTGAATTATTTTTGAGGGGATAATATTTTACTTAATTGTGTTTCAAAATCAATTGCAAATGTGTCTGTTTTGCTGGTCTGTGATGTAATTTTATATATCTCATCCTGGAAAATGTCAGATAGATAGATACTACTAAATACTGTTAGCAATCCTTAGGGTATGATTTTAATTGAGCATATTCATAATTTGGAAGGTAGTTAGAGAATTCTTCTAGGTATTTGCCTTTTGGCAAATCATCCCATTGCAGATTAATCACTTCCTATTAAAGGATAGTTACATGCTCCACCATTATACGATTAGATTTTAAAATATGGAAATTTCTTTTGCACTTGAATTGAAATCCAAAAATACAACTAAAAATGTAGTTGTGTTTGGAAAATATATCCACTGCAAATTTGTGTGGAAAATGGAGATCTTGCTGCTCATTTTAACTTGCCAGCATGGGAAGTAGGTAAAAAAGCATTAGTTGTCACCATATTGACCAGTGCAGAATAAGTTTCACATATAAGTGTTGTTTTGCCTTACAATTTTAAGTTGGATTTATTAAGAAATATCAAATCTGCAGCAGAAGCTAATTTCCAAAGCTGTTCACCTTTTTGTTAATAAGAGGTGTGTATGATTTCTCATTCAGAAAAATTTTAGTCTTGCTGCCATCAAACTGTGTAGTTGGACAAGTCAGCACATTTAGTTTCTGTTTCTGATAAAGCTTAATGGAAGTGATGATGGGTAAGCCTAAAAGAGTAAATGAAATTTACCAGTTCAATAACATGACAGATTTAAGCATTTTACACAAAATAGCTGCTGTTGAATGATATATAAATATTGACTTTAATCATCTTACATTTTCAGAAGTTTTGTAAATTTGCCCAGTAAACCTTTTCCTGCTCACACGCCTTTTTACCACCCTCACATCATAGCAGATTCCACTTCATTTTGCACTGAATTGGTGTTTTCTCAAGTTCTTTAAAAGCACTCTTCCTTGTAGTGTTGCATGAAGACTATTCACAGAGGCTAACTCATGAGTCTCTTCAAACTCAGCATTGACTTCTCTAGTAAAATAACAGGGCAGTATTGGCAATGTTAACCTAAAAATAAAAGGCCTTCTAAAAAGTGAGAGCAATACATTTTTACTGAGATCAATAAGAATAGCTATTCAGGTATCATTAATTCATGCAGAAGCCCAAATAATGTTCTGATTAGGAGACGAAAGCAAAAATGGATATTTATGAGAAAGGGAAGGGAAACAGTATATCAACAGAAGGAAGGCATTTCTATTGGTGCAGACAACCTAGTGATAATTCTAAACAATGTTTTTAAATTTAAGTTCAGTGGTAATCAGTCCAGTAGCCCTAATAATGTCTTTCTAGTTACCTTTGCAAACAGTTTTTGGGACACAA